TGCTAAGGATGACATTTTTAAATCCAAAAATATTTTTTCTCTAACCGCTAGTGATTGTCCGCCGGATCCTACTTGTTTTTCACAAGCAAACAAACATTTAAAATGGTGGGCGGCTATGGCTGAAGAGTTTAATGCATTAATTGCTAATCAAACATGTGATTTGGTTCCTTGCGACCCTAACAAAAATGTGGTAGGATGCAGATGGATTTTTAAAACTAAATTTAATTCTGATGGCTCGATTGAACGCCATAAGGCTCGGTTGGTAGCTCAAGGGTTTAAGCAGCAGGCTGGAGTGGATGTTTCAGAGACATTTAGTCGAGTGGTTAAACCCACTATTGTTCGCCTTTTACTATCCCTTGCTACCTCTTTTGGTTGGAGTGTTCGTCAGTTAGATGTCAAAAATGCCTTTTTACATGGCTATCTAACTGAAGAGGTCTATATGCGTCAGCCACAAGGATTTGTTCATCCCTCTTTTCCTCATCATATCTTTCGGTTATGAAAAGCATTATATGGGCTTAAACAAGCTCCCAGAGCTTGGTTTCACAGGTTTAGTGGTTTTTTACTCAGTCATGGTTTCACCCAGAGTAAGTCTGACTCCTCTATGTTTGTATATCGTCGTAATTCATGCTCAGTTTATATTCTTCTTTATGTTGATGATATACTCATTACAGGTAGTTCATCTACCACAGTCTCTTCCTTCATATATGCCTTGTCTAACACATTTGCTATGAAAGACTTGGGTGAGATTCATTACTTTCTGGGTATTCAGACACTTCACACCGCTAAAGGGATGTTTTTGTCACAACAAAAATACATCTATGATTTGTTGCGTCGCTTTCACCTTCATACTGTTAAACCTGTTCGTACTCCTCTTCCTTCATGTACTACTCTCTCTTTAACTGATGGAGAACTCTTGGCCGACGGTACTGAATACCGCAACATGGTGGGTGCTTTACAATATTTGACTATTACCAGACCGGATATTACTTATGTTGTACATTTAGTTTCCCAGTTTATGCATGCTCCTCGTACGACTCACTTGTTGGTTGTGAATCGTATTGACATATATTTGCAGGGTACTATTTCTAAAGGCCTTTGGTTGAGGAAAGGGGGTGATTCGTCTCTTATTGTTGCATATTCAGATGAAGATTGGGCAGGATGTCCAGATAGTTGCCGTTCTAATGCAGGTTATGCTATTTTTTGGGGAGATAATCTGATTTCCTGGCGGTCTAAGAAGCAACCCACGGTATCTAAATCCTCTATCGAGACTGAGTATCGAGCTGTTGCTTATACCGTTCAGGATACACTTTTTATCCGTTCCCTTCTTGCCGATATGGGCTTCTTTGTGCCCAAACCAGTTCAACTCTACTGTGATAATGTCTCAGCATCCTATTTAGCAGTGAATCCTATACAGCATGATCACACTAAACATATCAAGATTGATTATCATTTTGTCAGGGAAAGGGTAGCTCATGGTGATCTTATTGTTAAATACATTCCTACACAGTTTCAGTTAGCTGATATATTTACGAAAAACTTGTCTAGTCAGCGTTTTGATTTTTTAAAATCCAATCTGCACGGTCATGTCTTCTGCACAGATTGAGGGGTGTAATAGCCCAATATATTTTAGGAGATTATTGTACCTTCCATATTATCATTTTATTATAAATACACCATGAGGCTACCTAGTTTGGTAAGTCATTATTCTCTCAATAATATTCTCTCATAATTTCCTCTCCACCTAGGCATGATATCAATTTCTTTTTCAAGTCTCAATTGTGTCTGCACTCTTTGCCAAATTTCTGAAATCGTTCACCTTGACACATTAAATTCAAGAGCTACCGATTGTATTATGTCTCCCTTGAGTTTCCCATTCACTGATTTGGCTAAAAGAGCCTGCACTGCATTATTTCTGTCAATATCATTCAAAACATGGTACTTACCTCTGTTTTGGCTTGACTCATTAATATTGCTTCTTTGATGTACTTCCTCAGGTGTTGGAATCAAAGAAAATGATATGGTGGAAGAGTGTATAGTTGCAGTTCAATGCATGGTGACATAGGAGGGTTTTGAATTGGCTCACTAACACTGCCTCTTTGTGTTTCCTCAAATATTGGATTTAAAGAAAAGGTTGTGGTAGAAGGAACAAATCATTGCGGTCCAGTACATGGTGACAAAGAAGGAGGAGGATTATTGTCCATTTGTAATGGTGGTGAGTAAGCTCATAGTCAGCTGTGTATTTATTGATGTGGTCCGCAGTAGTTGGAGGGAAATGTTAAATTTTCAAAGGTGTTTTGGAATTTCGTATACCCTATGTAATTCACTTTTGTGGAGTATTTCCCTCCATATGTTTCTTGGTGCAAGTTGTAAAAGTGATTGAGTGTACTTATTGTTTCAATCACATCTTACTTTTTACTATACATGCACAGGCTTTATGGAAAAGTCTATTGTTTTTCTTTTAGAAACCGATCACTACATTCTATTTTGGCTTTAGACCTTTTCGTGATTTCAAGGGGCAAAACAGTCCAGTCAAAGCATGTTTTAAGTTCTCCTTATTTGTTGTGCCAGTCAAGATTGGCGAAGTATTTCGGGACAGAGGGAGTAAAAAATTATGAGTAACTAAGAAACTACTGAACCTATGAAATCATGCTCGCGGGCCTGTTTTAGGCCATAAATGGCCTACGCGGACGACACAAGTGATGAGGAAATTGAGAATGAGTAAAACTTCGTGGCTGATGCATATAGACCTCTTCTGTTAGATAATCATGAAGAAAAGTATTTTTAACATCTAGTTGACACATAACCCAACCAAAAAAATAGCCAAAGTAAGAACATTACGAAAAGTGGTGGGTTTAATGACGGGAGTAAAGGTTTCAGAAAAATCCACATGAGATTGCTGATTAAAACCCTGAGCAACTAGTCTTGCCTTGTGGCGCTCAATAGACCCATCAGAAAGATATTCCGTCTCATAAATCCACTTAGACCCAACAATATTCTTAGAATGATCAAATGGTACCAAATCCCAAGTATGATTAGCAATAAGTGCATTAAATTCTTCAGCCATAGCCTCACGACATTTCAATTGTTTATTTGCCTAAAAAAACAAGTGAGGTATGCTGAAATAACAACTATGTTCAAATTAAAAATGGATTTGGGCTTAAAAATTCTAGATTTTGTCCGAGTTAGCATCGGGTGGACATTTGTAGGGGGATTAAGCGCTAGGGCAGCTATTGTTTTGGGGCTGGGGTTGGTCGCTGAGGGTGGTGGTGTAGAGGGACTAACCGGAGGTGTTGGGCTGGTCTTAGTCGGCGGACTAGGGAAAGAGGTAGGGTTGGGTTCTAGCGTTGGGTCGTTGGGCTGGGTTTGCGTGGGTGTACAGGGGTTGGCCGACTGGCTGAAGAGTTTGGGCGGACTGGGCGGTGGACTAGGTGATAATTCGTGCAGCTGGTTTAGACTGGGTGGACTGGCCTGGTGGTCTGGTTCGGTCAAGGGATGGTCCAGGGACTGATTTGGCCGAGAAGGAGGGGCTGGACTGGATGTGAAGCGGCTCCAAGAGGAAAAAGGAATAGTGCATTTGGTTGATTGGTTCGGGGAAGAAGAAGCATTCGTAGAAGATGTCAAAGTGGTGAACGGGAAAATATTTTCGTGAAAACGCACATTACGACTACTATAAATCCTACCAGAAATAGGATCAAGATAACGATAACCTTTGTAACCAGATGCATAACCCAGAAAACCCTAAATTGGAGAGAACATGAGACTGTCACACCTCAAAATGAATTAAATGTAAGGGAGAAGAAGAATTGTGATTAACATATGAAAAAGATAATCGTTGAGACTTGCCTAATCGGCAAGAAGTACAACCATGAGAAAAACTAGAACTATTACATATAAGTTTTTGAGTGCGTAAACTACGTAAAATGTTTTCATCATAGTGACCTAATCTACGATGCCACACAGGACCAGTGGTGAGGACAGAAGATAATACTAGGCTAGATGGTGGACTCGGGCTGAGAGGATAGAGATTGCCATTAGTTGTTGCCTGAAGAAGAACCGCCCCCAAAATTTTGTCCTTAACAAAAAAGGAATTTTTGTCAAAATAGCAACACAGTTCTTATCGGCACACAACTTTTTAATTTAAATTAAATTGAATTTAATATTGGGCACGTGATAAACAGATTTTAACAGCAGTGGGCGGCCAGAGGCTCTTAAAGAAATATTACCAACATGTTTTATAAGAAGATGAGCACCATTAGCAACACTACCAATATTTGGGCTAGACTAACAATACTTTGTTGGCTCCCAAGTCCGGCTAACAGGGTCGTCTAATGAATTTGGAGTTCCCGGTTCGAAAAGGCAATTTGAAGCCCCCCTTTTTTAAGCAGATTTGTTTTGAAAACAAATAACTTAATTATCATTAATGAAGATGACAAGAAACATTACAATCATAAAGCTCAAGGCTACAATGGGATGAGACATAGAAACGGACGATTCTAATCGAAAATGCCGAATCGCTAATCCCGCAAAGAAGTAGACTCTACCTGCAGATTGGCTGCTCCTACTACAATCACAATAATTATCAAAAGAACTCTTAAATATCCCTGTTTTTCTAGCCCCCGGTAAGGATCCATATGTAGAATTTGTTCCGGTTTCACCAGTCACCGAAAAGAAAGCAACCCAAATGATCTCATCTTCCTGGAACGGTGGTGGTTCAGGAGGGGGGCGATCCGTCTCAATATCGTCACAGAAGAAAATCATGTTTTTAATTGATGAAGAGATCAGTGCAAATCTCTTCTTAGCACATAAGAACGCCCGACCGAAAGTGGCGGGAAATATGGATTTGGCAGACGATATTTCGCTACCGAAAATAATACCTCCAAACAACGTTGGGAAAGAAACACATGAATAAAACTGAAAACACTGATTAAGAAGATGTTTTTCTATTATTGAAATCAAAGAAGATTGAAAGAAGAGAAGAAAAGAAGAGAAAAAGAGGAGGAGGCGGCTAGGGTTCCCCATGTCATTGTCGCTCAATTAATTAAATCTCTTATTACAATCATATGATGATAAACCCGACCTAGAGCCTTAAGAATAATGCACTATCGTAAGTACCTTGATTAAGCAGAAATTTATTAAAATTTAAAAAGAAGAGTACAAATGATGATGAAAGAACAAAAAAACGCTAAAGAGTGAACAATAAAAAAAGCCCTGCAAATCCCTAAAGTAAAAATGATTAGCTCCCCGTCAAAATGTATTGAGTTGCCCAAAAGAGATGAAGTCCCCAAAATATCCAAAAGCTGATTCTGTAAAGATAGAAACGACCCTATGATTTAGCCAATCTTTTAGCCTTGAGACGAGCACTCCGTCGAGGTAGCAATCTAGAATTGGTTGAGTCCCATTCCGTGTCAGCAACGCGGTTTAATAGCTCAAGATCATTTCCACCCGAAGCATTAGGTTCCAAAAACGCAGTCTGAGGAGAAACTAATCCATCTGCTAATAATTCAGAGTGAGGTGAAAAAGAAACTCGTAGAGGAGTAGATTCAAGGATATCTGTCACATCTCTCTCCTTGGTTTCAAAAGTTAATGTCCTTTGTGAAGTATCCCGAATCACAACAGCACAAGTCAAAGTCTTATTCGATTCAGATTTTAGGTCGGATTCATGTTTTTGCACTGAACATCCTCCATAGAAACCAAAGAGCTTGGCTCAAGGCAGTGATCATCATCTGTAGAAACCAAAACCAAAGAATAATCCTCAATATGCTCAATATCGGCTTGGAGTAATGCACCCGAAATTGATATATTAGTTTCACAAGAGTGAGGATAGTCCCCATTTAAAGGTAGAAAGTCTAATTCACCCCTCAAATCCGAAAAGACATCACCCAAATCATGTTCAATTGCTAATGTTTTGGAGACAATTGAGTTCATCAATGTATTTGCTTTTGCAATCCCCATAAGAAATAAGTTTATTCCTTGTCCATTTCTTCCCTAGGGAATAAATAGAGAATCACATCCCCTTTCAATTATTCGGACAAATCCTCCAAAGAAGTTTGCATCATACAAAACGATATGGGATTTATTCAACTCCAACTTAGTGCATTATCTATTACCTGAAAAGATTTTGAGTATGGATTCCTTTAACCAATTAATCCCAGCAAAATCATAGATGGCAACAGATGATAATCCATGCTTCATTACAGAAATACGAACAGTAGAGCAGTCCATAACTGTAAAATTAAAACATTCTCTCAATGTTAATATCGAACTCATCTTCTCCAGTTAGAATCGAACCTTTATTTCTGTTAGTTGAGTTCCTCTGTATCGGGTATGAAGACCTGCAATAGTGCTGATCATTTCGTTGAGGTCTGAAATCTGTTCGAAAGTTCCAATCTACTTCTGGTCGAGCACCCCAATCTCGCTGGCGAGCTTCAAACGTTGTGTTGCACGCTGCCCAGTGTCTTTGTTGGAATGGGCATCTATTTTGTGCTGGACGCCACCCTGCCTGGTCGCCTGAGCCCAGCTTAACTCTGCATCCTTCCAGTTGCCATGGAGAATTCTCCCCTAACCATCTGAAACGAGGTCGATAGCCCCATCGCCGGTCGCCGAAGGATGTATACTCCTTCCCTTCCAGTTGTCTCCTTCGGAAATGTGTGGATGTCTTCTCCAAATTTTCATGTCTGTCGCGCTGTCGCAGATAAGGATTAGACTAGAGAAACGTCGTCCGATTCCATCCCCCTGGAATTGCAATTTCCACTGAGGTCTCCAAGCTTCAAGCACTAGGCGGTCGATCGGCGATTGCCTAACCCTATTTTCCTGCGCCGCCGTCCCCCCTCCAATACATACTAGTTGGTACCATAGAATTTGAGGGGCCCCTAAAACATGAAAAAATACAAAAATGTAACAATGGAATGCAAATAAAATACTCCCTCTGTCCCAGAAAATTCTTCTCACTTTGATTTGGCACGGAGATTAAGAAAGTGGAATAAAGTGTAAATGTGTGGTTGTAGTTGTGTAAGAAAAAGGTGAAATTAATGTGAACCACATAAATTGTCCAAAAATGTTAAGTGGGAAGAATTTTGTGGGACAGCCAAAAAAGGAAAGTGGGAAGAATTTTATGGGACGGAGGGAGTAGATAGTTTAGTGAAATATAAGTTTTATAATGTTTGAAATGTATAAATTAGACAATCTAAAAGTTATACACCTTTTAGATTTCGAATAATATATAAGATTGGCCCTGTATAAGAGTGGGCCCCTGTGCCAAACACCTATTGCACCTCCTAAAAGACGACCCTGCCGGCTAACAACTACATCCTTCCCCAAATGCTTGGAAGAATTCCCTTGAAAAATGGCCATTGCTGAATCTCCTTCCTGAAAACCCCCTCCCACATCCTCCCCTAACAAACCCCCTAACAACTTGAACTCTATTATGCACTAATCATCTACTTCATCCCACCCCTGAATTTCTGACACTCCTTGCTCGAAGCCATGATCCATAGGGTTTAATTAATTTCCCCTCCCCTTGTTATACTCCAAAGGACAAAAACGATCTGTTTGACCTATAAGGCCACACACAAAGCAGAAACTAGAAAGTTTTTCATACTTAAGATCCAACCAAAATCATTCTTTCTCATCATTACCAAGTTTTAATTTCCTTAATAACCGTTTGCTTATATCTAAGCACACCCTTAAATTTATATATGGTCTCCAACTATCCTCAAATTGTCTTTGCTCAAGTGTTATTAATTTACCCATTGCGTTTCCAACTATTTTTGCAACCTTCATATTAAAATAACTCGTGGGTAAATTATACATGTGGACTCAAAAATTGGCTTTATTTAGAGGAACCGTCAACGACAATTCACCTGCCTGTAGCGCATGCAACACTAACAAATTTTCCTAATAAAGCCACAGACCATTCTCAAGAACACGATTCATGTCAACCACATGGCAAAGGTAAAGATATACCCCTTGTCGCCGACTTCCTTAATTATAACCCCTCTTGTTGGGCGCCAAATTGAAGCCATCAAGTCTCTAAAGTATGAAAACTTGATAGTTTTTTCGGTGACCAGTCTGCCGACGACCGTAACCCCTGTCGCATTCCTGTTTTCACCCCCCCCCCCCCCCCCTTCTTCATCGAAATTGATAGCATTACCTTCATTCTCTTCTTTCGGAACCAACCTTGATAAGATGCACCAAATCTTCCATTGAAACAAATTGTTCCTTCTTTGACACGTACAAACTGGAATCGATCGCACAAGAGAACAAAATGAAAAAGAAATAAAAATGACAATTAAAATTGGATTTAAATTATGAGAATTTGAGAGCGACAATTCCTAAATCGGCAAATGAGTCACGATTTTCTGCTTCCTACTGTCCAACTGCACGACTTGAAGCAGCGGAACTCTCCAACCCTACATTTTGTAGGAAGTTTTTCTTATCGGTTATGAGTTGTATATTTAGTTTAATTGTGATTTGAAAATGCTCTTTATTAATAATATATTTTCATAAAAGTATAAAATTTATAACTTCCATAGATTATACTAATCAAAATTATTGTGTAAAATTTACCACCATTGACTTGAGAAGTTAACAATGATAAAATTTTAAGAGTGTTATTACACATTTAGCTTAAATGATTAAAGGGATATCATTTTTTATAGGGAGAACTATCAAATAAGCCCTCGAACTTTCATAAAAAGTGCAAATAATTCCTTTTATATGAGGCTCTATCCGGCCGTCGTCATCTGGGGCGGTTTCCGGTGGAATTTTTTGATGACATTTTTTGAACATCTTCTTCTTTAAGTCTAGTTTATCCATACCAAATTTCAGATAAAAACTCAATCGAGAAGGCAGACAAATGATTTTCTGAAATTTACTGCGCTGTCTAACTGTGCAGTTATCTTCAAAAATTCATTTTACTGCCTTCAAAATTGAATTTTTAGCTGAAATTTGGTATGGGTAAAGTAGACTTAATGAAGAAGATGCTCAAAAAATTTCATCAAAAAATTCTACCGGAAACCACCCCAAATGGTGACGGTCGGACAGAGCCTCCTATAAAATGACTTATTTGCACTTTTTATGAAAATTCGAGGGCTTATTTGATAGTTCTCCCTTTTTTATAAATTAAAAAAGAAGAGATTACGAGCTCGCTTGATGACTCTATTTTTTGGCTTATCAGGCTTATCAGCCAACTTTTTAACCAAACACGTAACTTTTTATTTCTCATGCTGAATTGTGAAATAATAATAAAAAGTAAGGTTATAGTTATTGTTCTGCCTGTATTGGCTAAAGTTATTGTAAATTACCATTTTAATTATTTTTTTCATATAACTTTTTCTTTATTTTATTAATAAAATATATTTTAAATACAATTTTTTTTATAAATCAGAAAACAAGCCGTACAATCATTTCAACCGTAACTTCATAAATATCAACGTAATTGATCAATTCGGCCGATTTAAATACCTCATAAATAAAGAATAAGAGTGTAATTTTCGCTAAAAAATCACTCGTACATTGGAACTGCACGAATAATTTTCCCGCAATAACAGGCAACCTTTTGTTCAAATTTCCCCCCGCTGTTCAAATTTTTAGCTCTACAGACCATTTTCGAAGACATTAGAGAGAAGAGAGAAGGAGTGAGTAGCCCTATACTGCAATGGTCAGATGCGAAAATGAGAATGCCAAGACAATTTGCTCAATTTGCTTTGAAGATCTGAAACCAATTGTCGAAGATCTCCAATCCATTTCGCTGTGTGGTCACGTATTTCACGAGCTCTGGTAAACCCTTTCAAAGCACCACGTTTTCATTCTTCTTCTTTTCTTTTCTGTTTTATCAACTTATCTGGGTAATGAAATAGGTAGGTCGAAGGGCGAAACCTTAATCTACTGTACTAAAATATCATAATCAGGAATGAGGCATATAGAGGTTCTAATATTATAGATTCATTTTGATAACATCCATTTTGAATGAAATTAATCATTTTTGTGTTCGGGATATATTTATTCTGAATTTTTTTTTCTAAAGGGGTCAATGATGATCTTTTGTTTGCAGAGTATTGTATTTCCCAGCAATGTGCCATCTGACATTCGAATTCTACAATTTTTCTTGAATGAATTTAACATCTTCAGTGTATATACCTTCAGTTCTTTTTTAAGCTGTAGAATTGTACTCCCGCCATCCCAGCTTGAGGTTTTCAGTTTTCTTTTTGGACTTCTCAAGTTAAGGTTCTCATTTCTATTTTAGGAAAAAATTAGCATCTTAAACAACAATTTAATCATCAAATATAAAAAATGATACATCTATAACATCACATTTATCACCAATAACTCCATTATATTTATTGCAATGGAGCCAAAGACTCACTATTTTTTGGCTTGGGAATATGATGGAATAAAGCAAATAGACTCAATAAATTGTCTGTGCTTCTTTGTTATGAAGCAACAGTCAGTCCATGCAATTTTTGACGCGATTTTCACTATGGGTCATCCGGAAACCGTCTCTTTGTGCTTTAGTACAGGGGTAAGACTGCGTACATCCGACCCCACCTTACCCCACCGTAGGTGAGAGTCTTTGCAGCATTGGGGTAATGATGATAATGATGAACTCCATTATATTTATACCCATAAAAACTATCGCTCTAAATATACTCAAATACCTTATTTAATTATTGTCTAAATAACCGTGACATTTTTCACTCGAAACCTTAACCCGGGACGGAGGTAGTAACTATTTACCATGCATATTGATATATTCTTGAAGAGCATTAAGCTGGCATAAAATTTGTTTCATGCCTATAAAGTTTTTATTTATTTTTTCATTTTGTGAAATGCATATGTTGTTGTCTGAGTATTTATGGTAAATATATAAACCAGTCTTCAGCAATGGTTTGAGTATTGCTCAAAAGGGAAGAACACTTGCCCAGTATGCAAACAAGCATGCAAAGAGAAGAATGTCAGTCGGCTTTATTTTCAATCAGTTGGTGATACAAATGAAACAAGCCTCTCCCAGATTCCGCGTGACAGTGAGCAGAACCAAGAAGCATTGCAGAGAGAGGTCAGGAGATTAGAAGGTAGAGTTTCTGTACTTAGTTCTGCTCTGGATCAGCACCAGAAAGATCTCAAAGATACTGCTGAGGAGGTATGTTATTGTATTGTTCTGTGTATGTGTTTCTCAAAGTGAACGGTAGAGCAAATACCTTGTTTTATTTACCAGATAGACAATAAATCTATGTTTTTGTTTGACACTCCTAGGGTAATAATGCTTGAATTGTGAACAATGATATGCTTTCGATAAAGAATTCTAGTTTGGTTTTTTTGTTGGTAGGCTAGTTGAAAAGTGAAAGGGAATCTGCTTCAAGGTTGATCTGTATTATTGGAGTTTGATTATGATAGTGACCATGACCGGAAAAGCTGAAGACTTGTATCTTCATTTTCTTTTTAATGGGAATAATTATTGCTCACATTCTTAGGAAATTGTACATGAATCATATTCCGTACAATTTGTATTCTTGCAAAGCTAGGGATAAGATTTGCAATACTGAAAGACTAATGGTTATAATTGGAAAGACTGTATATGCCTCTTTTCAGTCTGGGATATGGAAATAGTTGGAACATGGAAGTTAAAAAGGGTCAAACGTCTTAAGAAAATTCCTAAAAATTGGGATTTTGGTTTCTCCCTGTATCTCTTTCTTCAGGCCATCATTTTCATTCTTCCAATGATTTTGTATTGACTTCAACAACTTTGCTTTAGCTTTTAACATCTAAGGAACAGGTCAAGCTAGAAGTGAAACTGAGAAGTGAGGCTCTGATAGAGAGAGCTGCGGCTCAAAACTTGCTTTATGTGAAGACTAAGGTACCCATTTTTCTTGAT